GTCTAACAGCTAGCTGCTGGAAGTTTTAAATGGTTCTTTTGGTGGTATGATACTGCGTCTCCTCATACACTAGACCCCACTGATCTGGTGCGACGCACGTTCATCTCATATGTGCCCTGACGGTCTGCACGGGAGTTCAGACGTAGTATATGTTCTGTGTTGCTCGAATACTGTACAATTAGTGTTCATTTCCAAGCTTGTGATAATGGATTAGATCTAGTCTTTGATTGTTCGAAGAACCGCGCACCATGTGTGTGGCCGGGAAACCAGCGCGTCAAACTCGCACAGTCTCGTCCATCGCCTTTCTTCACCTCCACTGGATTCCCGCGGCCCGTATACGGGCCTTATATCCGGTCGCTCACCAGTGGGCCTGAACTTGAACCGCTCCGGCAACAACATCTCAGTGTCTTGTATCACAGCTGCGCAGAACTTTCAATCTGTCGCCGCGTCGAATATTCTGCTGTGTCGTTGAAGACGACTTCCTGCTTTCGAAGTCGCATACAATGCAACGCACTCAGACAAGGCTCTCAGGTTTTTGGTACGAAGGGTATAAGGGTGTTCACTTGCGTGAAATTTGTTATCGCTCTCTTGGTGGAACGTAGCCACATTTTCAACTATAGTATATCTACCCGATGATATGATGCGACATTCTCGTAAGTACGTCTCAGTACTGCACCGGTTCGTATTGACTGCGCCAGGATCATAGTGGCGAAGTGCGAGCGCTGGCATTAGTCTGATGTCGCGCGGCCCGTACACGGACCTTATCGTCAGTAGGTCTGAACTTGAACCACTTCGCGTAAGAACACCTCAGTGTCTTGTATCGCAGCCACGTAGAACTTGCAATCTGTTGCTGTGTTGCATATTCTGCTGTGTCATTGAAGCCGACTTAATGAATAATAACGCCCCAGATCACTCTTCAATGAGCGACACCCAAGATTCTGTGCATTCTGATGCGGAGGTTTCCGATAATCCGTGATAGTACGTATGGTCTGTTCCTCTGTCTTATCTCTGCTAATCACCTATGACGCCTCCGTAAAGCTCGTCTGAAGAAGACTCGCCTGAAGAAGGCCGTGCCACAGCATGGGTACCGCCACAACTTTCTGCAGGCGACATGGAATGTACAATCCGGGATCTCATGTCATTCGATGACCGAATTTAGGTCCATTTGTCTGCACCTGAGCTTAACAGGGACGCATACACACATTGCAAATGACCGAGCTGGGAGATTCAGCCTTGCATCTACCTTGCGAAAGCCAAACAACGAACGGACCCGATTGTGAGAAAGTAATATGACAAGGAAACTACGACGTCCATACTGAAGAACAACAAAGTCAGACCCATCCGATGGGATCTGCAATCCAGCCGCTATGAATGAAAAATATCTGTCTCCCATATGACCGAAAGGATATATACTGTTGGATCATGTCAGTAAGCGCTGCCGGTATCATCTAGGCGTCACTCACCGAGCGGTTTCGCGAAAGGTAAACACCAATGTTGCGTCGGAAAGACTCTTAAAGGTCGATGTCAATAGGGAGGCAGCCGAGTCCGATGAGACCTATGTACGAGAGGCAATCTAGTTGACCCAATATTCTTCTCCGAAGCTGAGGCTTCAAGGGCTCACCGAAGCTGTTGCCACTGCAGCACATGGGCGTAGAAGAGCTGTTGAAACCACGGGTCAGCATTGACATAGGGATTACGACGTCGGGGACGTACCAGGACGTGCCGCCGCCAACATTGACGGGGTTGGTCGGGGCGCAGCCGGTGCCGTACATCATTTCAGGATCAATCTCCATCTTGAGAGCCTTGCCGACTTCGCGCATGTGGTCAGAGCTCCCGGGTGCTGCTGTGTCGCAGCACTGGATCTGGGCCGGGTCGCACGCGGAGGACTGGGGAAGCGCAATGGCGGGGATCGCGAGGAGCGCAAGAGTAACAACGGTCTTCATGGCGAACATGGTGAATGCGGAGGAGTGGCGCTAAGAGAGGCTGAGAGCGAGTGAGAGAGTGGAAGTGCGAACGAAGGTTCAGCTAGGGTACTCGACGAGGAGGCCCAGTTTTTATACGCTTCCTGATGGCACTGGCCGAGAGTAGAGCACATGGGCAATAATCAGGCTCCTCTGTCGGCAAGGAGCTGTGCGACCACAAAGGGCAATGACAGACCCAAAACGAGAGCCGTGCACTGAGAAGAGCTTGGGGTGTCACATGAAAGGCGGGGGCTGGACGCAAGCAAGCATCGAGAAGCAAGGAAAAAGAGATCGATCGACAGGTGCTTGACGTCCCATACACGGAGAACCACTCTTTTTGCCCGAATGTTCGACCGCGGGTCTGTCGATGTCCGGAAGGGGAGAATCCCGGGCACCCAGTGCATTCCTCCTCAAGAAACTGGCGCTAAACGAAGGGCGACAAGTCAGAATGCGCCCGCCATCGCACGTCCCTACACGATCCCGTCAGTAACGATGGCGGCTGTTGCATAGTTGTCCTCCGTGGCGCATTGCGGACTTCGTCAATATCCCTCCAGGATACCGAATACATAATTATTCTGCGTAGAATAATGGAACCTTGCGTTGGTAAATGAGGATCCGGAGACGAAGTCGTCAGGTACGATTGATCCACGCCCCGGAATCCTCAGGTACGGTTTGTTCACATCCCAGAGACCGGCTCTCTCCCGCCGATCGCGTGGCCCGAGGTAACGAATTGCACACACGCTTAAATTGATCACTGTCTGGCTTCGCAGAGTGAATGAGGAATACTCACTGCTTCTCCACATGCCCATGATGACCTAAAACTGGTAAACGTTCTCCGTGCAGAAATAATGTCGAATGTGTGCTGTCGTCCGCGCGCCAAATCCTCCACGTGCTGGAGCAAACATTTGTTCTTGGTGGCTGATGTCCCTCGCGTCTGGCGTGTTGAGGATGCTGCGATCGCCGATTGGACTCCCCAACTACCGATGCACCGCTGTCTTCAAACATCGGATACTGTTCTATGTGTGCTGGAACATGCGGATAAAGGTGTGCTGGCGGCAATTGCAACAACTTGCAGGGCTCTGAGCGAGCCTGCTCTTGACATTCTCTGGGAATCGCAAACTACGCTTATTCATCTGATACAATGCTTTCCCAAGGACATATGGAAGGTTAACGCATATGTGACCTATGCCCATATCGATTTTTCATGGTGGAAGACTTATATTGTATGCGATGCTCGAACACTTCCTGGCGACTCGATATACTGGCCCGAATCATGCGCGAGGTTCAGAGTGCTCAATCGACGAAGATGCAAATTAATAGAGTAACCCAAGAAAGTGAACTTGCTGACATCAAAGCACAAACTAAGAAGAACAAGTAGTCCAGTGAAACCAAGTGTTGCGCGAACTCAACTGCTGACCGAGTGAACAGACAGCGCAGATGTGCTACGCGTCGTGTCTTCAACGACGCCGTGGTGATCCTCGGAAATCTGAAGGCCCCGGGAGATCGATCATCGTGCAGCTCGAGAAACTCTTGAGTATCATTCTGAACTGAGGCTCGCAGATACGAGACAAAATAGACAAGAGCAAGCGACTTTAACTCGAAAGCACAGCAAGACACACATCCTCGTACATGGAAGTCCAGTCATGGAACTACCTCAGTACTATTTTGCCATAAGCGATGTTCGGAGTAAAGAGCAAATTTAAGAGAGTCCAATGGTATATCGGCATATGATGATGTTGCTGCAGATAGTACTATTAACAACGGAAGACGATGAGATACGTAGGGCAGACGAACATTAACGTTTGATATCACCGCCGGAGTGCAAGACGATTAAGTAAGATTTGAGGCGTCGTTAAACAGCAATGGGGATCGTGGCACATCCGACGCCAACAAGACCACCTATGCACATGGCCTGTTAGCAATCGAGGCGCACTCACAAAGTCGATTCCGCTTACCAAAGTAGTTGTCTTCACAGCAGACAGGAGAGGCAGTGCTAATGATCACCGACTCATCAGCCCATGTCCGGCGAAAGCAGTCCATACGACGTACCAATCAGTGCCGCCACCGACGTTCACAGGGTTGTACGCAGAGCAGCCCGTACCGTAGAGCTTCTCCGAGTCCACCTCGAACTTGAGCGCCTGGGAGACCTGGCGCATCTCCTCCTCAGAGCCGGAGCCGGTGTACGTGCAGCAGAGCAGCGGCGCGTCGTCGCACTGCGTCGAGTTGCTCTGGGCGATGGCGGAGATCGCGAACAGCGCAGTGATGAGGGTGAGCTTGAGGCCGAACATGGTAGATGAGCGAGTGGAAGTCGAGAGAGTGAGCTGAGAAGGAAGGTGGCGGGGGCAAGGATCGACGAGTGAACGGTGTTCAGCTGATGATGCCGATTCGGTGCGGTAAGTCTTATATGCAGCTACCGTCCAGCCCCAGCGGGAAGTTCGTGCAGGCAACCGGCCGTCGGGAAGGACAGCAGGCAGAGACCGACGCAACCCCAGAATGCGTAGGCGCGTCACTCGTGTTTACGGGCCCGAAAAATGATCACCGGAGAACAGAACTAGTAGACCCGCACGCATATCGAAGACATTGATATCGGTTCCAGTCTTTGAGCTGTCACGCAAACCTGCCTTCTTCCCACCGAACAACACACACGCATTCACGCGCGAGTACAGGCCCCCGCATTTCAGGATATTAGCATGCCAGCGGATAGGGTTCTACTTCCAAGCAAATCAACGGGAGACGAGTAGGTCAGCACGGAAGCGTGAGGACATGGTCATGGAAGGAAGAATCTTAGCGTGAGAGTAGATGAGAGCTCGCGAGCGGCGAGTGTATACACCGGCGTCCGTCAGTACGAGTACAAAGCACATGCAAGCGCAAGCTTGAACATGAACAGACAGTCATCCGAAATGTGCTGGTTGCCGCCGAGCTGAGAGTGAAAGAAAATGGGCGGCTACAACATGTCAATACGTGGCGGAGCGCTGCAGGCGAAAGAACGGCAAGTGGGACATCAATTGCTTACATAAAGCGTTAGCATGAATTGTACAAGGCACTATGGCCGAGTGGTTAAGGCGACAGATTCGAATTGGATGGTCAGCATCCGAGTCCCATCTGTTTCCCTATGGGAGCGTGAGTTCAAATCTCACTGGTGTCGTCGTGGTTCTTTGAGTTATTTGCATTTTTTTCCGACAGTCGCTTGGAACAATTTCTAGCAACGTTTTAGGCACCGGAGTATACCTTGTTTAACCTATGATAAAATTCATGCTTTCACATATCTGTCTACCATAGTATGCTGTCAGATGCTACCCACGACCACCACCATGTTCGGAGCATGACATTTTGCTCGCGCGTCGTATCGACCCTAGGACACATATACGAGTAGATATCCTATTAGCGCACCTAAATAACCCGGTATCGAGTGATGACACACAAATAACACTCATGCCACACCGAATAGCAGCCTGACTTCACTTACGACTCGCGTTGACGGTCAAACGTGACAGCCAACGAGTAGAATCAGAGTAGGCAAAGTAGACACAGATACACATGCGCGCAGCGCCGGATACGATAGTCCGTGACGACCCATTCAGATAACGACACAGTTCAGCTAATACGTGCTATACGAGCACCGCATTGATTAGTAACTCTGAACGTCAGTTAACATCTGCGTCTCACGAAAGCTTGCGTTCAGACTGGATCGTCAACACTGATGTCAAACGAGGGAGATCAAATTAAGCAAAGCACCAGACACAGGTACACATGCGCTGGGTATGATAGTCCGTGACTGTCTCTGAGCCTCCTACGCAAACTCAGCCACCCCGTACTCGTCCGACTGCAGCTTCCGAGAACGGCGACGACCAAGAAAAACGAACGTGGCATGTTTCTGCGGGAAGCAAGCGATGAGAAAATGGTATTGTGTGCTCTAGAGAAACTGTTGGCGTACCAAGGGGTTTTCCATCATTGGCAGGAGAAGGTCCCGAGGCGCGAGCGCGACGCTCAGACGGTGACGGGGATGGCGGCGCAGCCAACGCCAATGAGACCTGCCCGAAAAGAACCACTCAACAACAGATCCTATCTTCTCATTCACAAGTACTTACCGAACGTGTTGTCCTCGCAGCAGACGGGGATGGCCTGGCTGATCACACCCGCACCCACATCAGGACCCCATCAGATCAGATCACACACAAGAAGACATACCAAGTGGTGCCACCGCCGACGTTGACGGGGTTGTACGAGGAGCAGCCGGTGGCGTACATTTTGCTCTCATCGATGTTCATCTTGAGCGCCTTGCCGACCGTGCGCATGTAGGTCGAGTTGCCCGACGCGGTGGCGTCACAGCACTGGATCGAGTCTGTGTTGCACTGGCTGCTGCCGTCCTGCGGGTACGGGATGGCGACGGCGGAGAGCGCGAGGAGCGCGGCGGCAGCGGCAAAGGCGGTCTTGAGTGCGAACATCTTGGTAGTGCGAAGTGCGAAGAGAGCGGAGAGCGAAGGCGAGGAGAGGCGAAGGCGAGAAGAGGCGAGTGAGTGGAAGTGAACGGGTGTTCGACTGAGGATGCTGATCTGATGCGGTGGCTTTATACGCAGGAGGAGCACTGTAAGAATGCGCTGGGGAGGCCGCTCGGCCGTGCAGAGTCTCGGAGGTAACGAAGCACACTGGCGGGGTTGCCCGTGGTTGAGAGCGGGACGTCATACGGGGCCGAGTAACCGATGGCGGGTACGTTCCCTCAGAGGCTGCACGTAAAATCACAGTGGGGGGTGGAGAACTTCAGACGTGGCTGCAAAACACGCGCTCTATCCTCCCGAGAAGTGTCTTCAATGTGGCCTGGATACGGCTGGGCCCTGCGCAATACACGGGGCAACGCTGAGTCATACCATCGCCGGCTTCACCGACACAGTCATGCCCGGCGCTTTGAGCGAAGGCGCAAACCTCCCGGCGTCGACGTGATGAATGCGGGCGTACTCGTATTCGCTCGCTGACGCCCGCGTCGTTCGGCCACCAAAGAACTTGTGAGAGGCAATATACCCCGAAATCCGCATGACGAGAAGGACCCTCGCTCGGAAGAATCTTCAACATCATGTTGACACTCACAATTGGGAAAGAGTGTGCTTTACACGGATCACTATATTGTAGTTGTCAGGCAGCCTGTCTCAGGCTATTCGCTCCTGCTGCTCCACCAGAATCATATACAGACGCGTCATTTAGGGGTGCACCGTCGGTCAGACGGCTTCGTATTCTTTTCTTGGCACCTGCAGAAGACATGCTGCACCAGATTCTCCGCTTCTTGAGCTCTGCATTCCACCGTCTCGCTCGAGGCACGTGAAAGCCTAATCATGGACCGCGTATATGGCCATCGGACAGAATCAGCAGCCCAAGCTCATGGTGAGAAGCTAGTGTGCTGAGGTTCAGTGCCAGAAGCTTGCCTAGGGAGAAGACACATGAATGATGAGAGTGCCCGTCGTGGGTGGCATTGACGCCGATGCAGATCTGCGGTCCGATTGAGTGCCACGATCGATCCTGAAGCGAGGAAGCGCGTGGACTTCGTGCCGCTGTCTCAACCTCTCAACTCCATTCCTCGATCTACGGCGCGTCCAACCGCGCCGCATTGCGTTCTCTGGCCGTATTGGATACCAGTAACTGGTAGTTCTGGTACACCCGGTCAGTAGCTGAAGCATTGCTGCGTACAGATCGCGGCTGCCCGAGCTGACTCGGGGCTGAAGTGCTCTCGCAAAGCCAAGAACTTCCGGATGCCTCCCGAAAAAAATTGACATGCACAAAGGAAGCCACGCAGGCAGTGCGGTCCTTTCTCTTGGAACGTCCTGCAGTTCGGATCCGCAACGGCATCGCTTATCACAGACTGAAGGCTCCACTGGCCCGACGCGCGAGGGCTCATGAAAATGAGGCCTGTCTTGGTTCAATCCAGATCGTCTAGTAACTGCGGTACTCTGGTGAGTATGCTCATGCTGCAGTTTATGCCTCTCAATCACGTGCAGCTCTCGCCCCACTCATCGGCGAGAGTATGCTCCGTTGCTGCCACCTTCCGCTTTCATAGGTATTAAGCTAAGAATCCTCCATTTCAGGCAACTGGGTGGAGCCTGAACCCCACACAAGTTGATTATATCAAGACCCCCCGATCGCACCTACTCTTCGCCATGACTTTTACTTTCGGCGATTCCGGCTGGGCCTCTGTCTCTAAACTGAACTACTGTCCTGATGATGCCGAGTCCCTCATTTCCGACGATGATGCTCGTGTGACATCATCCTGACTTTGTCCTCGCGATCTCCAGGCTTGCTCGATCGACCAGCTGGCGATCATGTTCTGCATGTGTAAGCCTGCGCTGTTCTACTTTCCCATCTGCTCAGAGTCATCCTCGCCCGTGCCGCCGCTCTCTTCGTCGCTCGCTTTCTCAATATCGTCCTCTCGTTCACGCAAGATACTCGCACTCATGACCGCCGTCGCGCTCGTGCTCCCCGCTCCCCCCGCACTCGCGCTCCCGCAGACCGGCGCCAGCCCGACATCGCAGTGTGATCTTGACCAGATCTAGTGCCGCGACATGCTCGTCCCGCGCAGCTCTGTCCACATGTCCGAGGTTGGCAAGGTGCTGAAGATGAATGTCGACTCCGAGACCATGTATGCCACCGGATGCAACGGTGCAGGCGTGGTTCACGCCAGCAGTGGAACTTCTTGGCGAGTCTGTGTAGAGCTCGCGCTGGAACTGTCTGATAAACGCCTGCTCCAGCTCCTCTATGCCGGTGTGCTGCAGTTCCAATGATTTCGGCCGTACGTGTGTTTCTTCCGATGGCAAGAGATCTGTGGCTAAACTAACTCGAACGTATGCAGTTCTCATTGGAATTGGCTGCGTTGAGGTTCCCGTGCACGTCTAAAAGCATAAGACCCTCTCTTCTCTCGACGTGCACAGCGGAAAATAACCAATGAAGCTCTGAGGTCTTCAGGGCGTGTTTTGTTGTTTTCGTTGGGACATTCCTTCATACAATCAGGATTCAGTACGACCAGGATTCAGCCAACTTGTCAGACATGATGTTATTCGATCACGTAGCATCCGGCGAGACCGCACATGAAGGCTGTGCATTGTACCGTTTTTCGAGCAATCATATTTCCTGGTAACACGCGTTACTACTCTTAAGTTTACTCGTTTATCCATGGCACCATGCTTGGGAGCGACGTTCAAGATGATGCCGCGCTCACGCTGCGCATCGTTCGCGTATCGGTGCTGCCGGCCCGGCGGCGGGTCTCATCCCGCCGTCGCGAACCCGAACCAGCTTTTCTCAAGGGTCGCAGAGACAGCCATTTCGAAACGTGAGGCTGCAGCACTCGGCTCTCATCATCACGTACATTCGGACGTGATTTGAAGCCTCACTGGTTTTGTTCTGTATTCACCATCGTATGAACTCTGTTCCGTGCCGGATCTATGAAGATCAGAGGTTCCCATCGATGATGATCACAGTGGACTTCGTAGGACACATTCCGTACGGAAGAAATTGCGTACATCACTTCCGCTTATGGGCCTACTACCTTCTTGCTTCCTATCTAAGGTCGTCTTGCAAGTGGGTTCTCCTCGTCGCTCGGATGTTCGCATGGCATTTCTGAGGAAACGAAGACTGAACGCTGCCAAGAAGAACCATCTGGACTTTGCTCGATTGCGCCCCTTTCTTCTTTCTGTGATCTACGACGTATAGTGATTCTCTTGCACCCCGCCGCTTCTCGCCCTATCTTCGGCAGTGGCATCATCAAACCCCGTGCCACAGCTCGCTGTTCCTGGCCTTGAATACCGTACGATGGGTAGGCTCGACTCCATCTACTAGTATATAAGCCACGTCTCACCCTGAACTTCTCTCCAGTCGCAAATTCCTTGCGTCTTTTCGTTCTTACTCTTTCACACTCGTTCCTATCGCTCCTTACCACTCTCGAAATGCACGCATTCAAGACCATCGTCGCCGCAGCGCTCCTCGCCCTCCCCGCATTTGCGCTCCCCCAGGACCCTACGGATGGGTCGTCGTGCTCCGGGGGTCAGGTCCAGTGCTGCAACAATAGCGCCCCGGGCGACTCTGACCACATGCGCGAGGTCGGCAAGGCGCTCAACATGAATATTGACCCCAACACCATGTACGCCACTGGATGCACTCCCGGCTCGG